AACTAACAAAATCAAGTTTTCTCCAAAATGTGGAAATCAAGGCTTAAGAGCTAATTTAATCTCAGCTGTAGAAAAATAAAGTGAGAGTTTTACACACTTGGCTTTTTTTTTTTCCCCAAAACATTTACATCTTTCAACCTACCCAGCACATTCTATGGTGGAGATGCTGAAAAAGACATGATCAGGATGGAAAAGGAACTGTGGCCTAACCCCTTTCAGCCCCATGCTGATACCTGGAGAGAAGCAGCGTCCAGGGGTCAGGCAGGCCTGGGTCACCAGCAGCGAAGTGAGCAGAAGAGGAGCTGGGCGCCATGTGGGCCTGGCTACTGCCAGGTGGGTACCTCATGAGGGACTTAAGAGAAACTCCTCTGTCAGGAGGCCAGGAGGCTGGGAGGCTGGCCCATGAGGAACTCTTCCTAAGCCCAGTCAAATACTGGGTATTACTAACAGAATTCCTCCACTGTACATAACACACTAGCACCTCACTTCCTAAACATATTCTGCAACTGTCCTCCCTGTGCCAGAAGCACTGCTTTCATGAAGACTTCCTCATCCATCTTTATCACAGTAATAATCCCTTCCTTCTCCTGCCAACACCAAAGAGTAGGCCAAAGCTGCATTGTTCATGGGCTCAGATTCTGTCCCTACACAGCTGTCACCAGCTAATTTGTGTCCATTCCTGCCTGGCCCTGGTCTCTTCCATACTCAGCCCCCAAGACCATAAGAGTAACCCTGAACCCCATGCCTTGATGTTACCTACTTCAGTTTCTCTCATGACTCTGAGCCCATTGCTGGTTCTAGCCCCAGCCTCAGCTCTGGGCTCCCCAACCCATTGGGACTGAGCCCTATGGATGCAGAAGGATTCCCCAGAATGCAGATGCAACTGTGCCCTCAATGTGAGCATCCCCATTGCCCAGAGACTCCTGCCTCCCTCACCAGAGGGCCGTCTCCAGGTTTTAGCACCCAGCATAGACAAGCAACGACGACCTGTAGTTTAGACTTATATGACCCAGCCCTACCAAAAGTAGGGCTTGATTCCTGGGCCTTGCCCCTGTAGCTCCCCAATTTACTCCAGTCTTCTTCCCCCTCCAATCTGCATCCTGCTGTCTCAAAAAGCCAGTCCCACCCAAATTAGGATGCTTGGAACCTTTACTCTTTCTCCATGTGCCCATCAGGATCTTAGAAAGAAACAAATTCAACTCAGCTGGTTCAACTGAGAAGCCTTTAATAAAGGTGCTATTTTCAGCAGTATGGATGGGGTTAATGGGACCAACGAGGGTAGTTGGGTCCCAAAGACAAGCAACAGATTGCAGCATTACTGCCCTTAGGACTGGGGGGCAAGAGAAGGAAATGGCAGCACAGGAGCCCAATGAGAGCTGGAGCTAGGTTAAGGGACTGTTCCTGGGGGGATGGTGCCACTGTCAAAGCAGGAATTGGGGGTGGATCTCTCCTTCCATCTGCCCTTCAGTCTCAGATACCTCCAACTGGTCAAGCCCAAGCAGAATCTAGTTGTCAAGGGAGCTTCAAAAGTGCCATTCACAGGGTCAACCTCTGCAGTGCAAAGAAGGGCTAAGGATGCATTCCTGTGTGTGGGTGTGGGTGGAAACAGAACAAGCAGCCTACCCCTCTCATGGCAGGCCCTTCATTTCTCCTACAATGATGACAGCTTCTGCCCTATTGAGCCCAGACTCAGGCTCTCCTGGCCTCCTGACAGGGGAGCTTTCTTAAGCATTTCACAAGGTGTCCACCTGGCACCATGACTTTCATGATGCAAACTGCTAAATTTCTATTCCAACTGCTCAGCTGCAAGTGAGACCATGACTCTGATATTCTCCCATTCCTGGGAGGGGAAAGTGGAGAAGGGGGATTCCTGACACTTCTCTGATACCAGGTGTTACTGGGAACTTATGGAAAGAGAACAGAGAAGGCTTGTCTTCCCCAGGAAGCTGTCAGTAGAGACACTGGCAGGTGGGACACAGCACAAGGAAGGAGGACCACAGGAATAAAAAGCCCAAGACAGGACCCCTGTCCAATCAGTTAGGACAGTAAAATGAATCGCTTGGGAGATAGTCTGTCCTCTCATTCCAGGGGATGCCCAACAAGAAGCAGAATGGCTTAGGCACCCCTGAGAGACTATGTGGCAATGCTTATTACAAACTCGCACCTCTCCTTCTGTCCAAACCAGGGACAGTTTCCTGACCCCCACTTGGTCACATACGGCTATCCCGCCCTTAACATGCATTTCTGTACCTGCTTCTCATATTCTTAATTGCTGCTACTTCTCTTTTGTAAGTCTATTTATGTCATCCCAGCACTTCTTGTTGTCACATAGTCCCAATTTAACATCCACTGTTAATTTTGTGACTTAAAAAATATGGTTGCCATAACAACTCTTGCAAAAATCATGGACCAGCTGCATCATTTAGCAGTTGGCATTTCCCACTTTGGAAAGACTTCCTGATAAGACATCCCAGACTTCTCTTTTATGTTAACCCTGAGACCCAGGGACCAGAACCAACATGTTTACCATAGCAGGCACATGTAACTCTCTCAACTGCGCTCTGAGCTGTGAACCACCATTAGTCCCATTTTACAGATGAGGAAACTAAGGCTCAGGGAGGTTGAGTAATTTGTCCCATGTCATACTGCCAGTAAGCATCAGAAGTGGGACATGTGAATACATAGAAGTAGAGAGTGGAGTAGAGACCACCTGGGGTGGGGAGAAGGAAGACATGGGTGAGGCAGGTCAAAGGGCACAAAGTTGCCATTATATAAGATGAAATAGCCCAGAGAGCTGACCACAGCAAGGTGACCGCTGTTCATAATGTTGTGTTGTATACTGGAAATTTGCTGAGAGTAGATTTCAGATACTCTTACCATGTGAAAAGATGTACCTGTTAATTTGCTTAACTATAGTCATATTTTCACTATGCATATGTATATCAAAACATCATGCTGTACACCTTAAATAAATACAATCTTTTAAAAGTGGGACATGAACTCAGATCTGCCTGAGTCTAAAGCACATGTTCTTGTGGAATAAATCAAGAGTCTCCCACGTAAATTTCTTTTTTCCCCCCCCCCACGTAAATTTCTTCAAAGATCCCCAAGTGAAGACACAAACATTGGAGATGATGATGCTGACCTCTAGGAGCCCCTCCTCCTAACAGTCACCCCTCCTCCTGCAGCAGAGATCTGCCATCTTTTCTTTTTTTTTCCCATTTATTTATTTTATTGCATTTTAGGTTTTGGGGTACATGTGAAGAACATGCAAGATTGTTGCATAGGTACACACGTGGCAGTGTGATTTGCTGCCTTCCTCCCCATCACCTACATCTGGCATCTCTCCCCTTGCTATCTCTCCACAGCTCCCCACCCCCCACCATCCCTCCCCTATTTCCCCCCAACTGACCCCATTCTCAGCAAACTGACAGAAGAGCAGAAGATCAAACACCGCATGTTCTCACTCATAGGTGGGTGTTGAACAATGAGAACACATGGACACAGGGAGGGGAGCATCTTTTCTAAATGACAATTCTGCTCTGGGGCATGTCCGGTTGAAGCTGTTCTCCTTCCTGAGAACCTGGGGTGTTAACTGAAATGTCTTCCTGGGATTTCCCCACTATCATAATCACATTGGAATCTGATCCGAAGACAGGCATTCAGGTATAAGTGGTCAATTGAGAAATAATTAGATAACTAATTAATTAAGGAGAAATCAGCAAGAAAGTACGGAAAGCAGGATACAGAGGGGGAAGAAGCCAAGAAAAGGGTGCATTTCAGGTGAAGCCCCAGCCTCAGCCTGACCCCATGGTGAGCTCTGGAACATATACAATGCCTCAGACTGCATCTTGCCTTGGGCACCAAGCTTCTGCACTCCCACACCCATCCTGGGCTAGGAAGGGAGAAGGCTCAGGGGAGGGCATGAAACTCCAAGTCTCCTCTGGCTCACTGTTGGGCTCCACTGCCCAAGACAATCTTCCAAAAGGCACAGGTGCCACTGTTAGCAACAAAGCACAAGGGGCAGAGGACACCACCAAAGGGATGATAAAAGGAATCTCAGGGGAGGTGGGTGGCACAACAGCAGTGTCCAAGACCACGGCTACGGTCTGCCTGAGTTTCCCAAGGTCCATAGATTGAAACTTAATTGCCAGTGATAGTATTAAGAGGTGGGCTTTAGGAGGTGATTAACCCTGGCAGGAAGATCCCTCATGGATGGGATTAGAACTCTTCTAAAAGAGCTTGAAGGAATGGGTTTGTTTTATTCTGCTCTCCTACCATGTGGGGGGATGCAATGTTCAAGGCATCATCTTAGAGGCAGAGACCACCCTTCATCAGACACTTGGACCCACTGCCACCTTAATCTTGGACTTCTCAGCCTACAGAGCTGTGAGAAGTAAATTTTTATTGTTTATAAATTGCCCAGTCTGTGGTATGCGGTTATAGCAGTGCAAACAGACTGGCACAGCAACACATACCAACTTCTCTCTTCAAACCGAGAGCCAACACTGTTCTGTGCCAGGGCAACAGATGCTTCAATTCTCCTGGTGTTCTGTCTTTCTAGGCAGTTCTGACAATGTGCTGGTTTCTTTACCAGCCCTACGTGAGCTTTACCCAACCCTTTTCAGTTAGTGTCTCTTTCTCTCTGTCCTGCCACATGTCTGTGATCCCAGAGTCAGGTACAAAAGCAGCATTTGGGCCGGGCACAGTGGCTCATGCCTATAATCCCAGAACTTGGGAGGCAGAGGCAGGTGGATCACAAGGTCAGGAGTTCAAGACCAGCCTGGCCAAGATGGTGAAACCCCATCTCTACTAAAAATACAAAACTTAGCTGGGCACAGTGATAGGCAGCTATGATCCCAGCTACTTTGGAGGTTGAGGCAAGAGAATGGCTTGAACCCAGGTGGCAGAGGTTGAAGTGAGCCAAGATCAAGCCATTGCACTCCAGCCTGGGCAATAGCGTGAGACTCCATCAAAAAAAAAAAAAAGGCAGTATTTGACAGGCAGCACTTCTCTCTCGCCTTGTTGCAATTCTTTTTCAGGTTTCTTCTCAGATTCTCTGTAGCTCCCCCTCTCCTTCTTGCCCTGTGCTTCAGAATGATACTGAACAAGTGAATAGCCAGGAGCAGCTTCCCAGATGGAGTGACCTGGAACCAGGCACCTGGAGCAGAAGCCAGGCCCCTTGCTGCTGAGCCCTTTCAAGCTTAGTTCAACAACCCCCCATTGTGCCTTTGTTCCTTTTTGCCAGCCTGCTTTATTCCAGGGACAGAAGAAAGAACCTTCGTTTTCTCCAGGGAGTGAGAAAGGTTGGGGGGAGTCATTCTGGGGAAGTTAAACTGAGATAGAAATGGGGCAACTCCCAACTACTTTCTCCCCCACCGACTGCCACTGTCAGTACATGAGTTGAACAAAATCAAAAAGGCATGGCAGGTGGCTCTTAACAGACCATTTCCTGCATCATCTCAGGCAGTTTGGCATCTCTCATCCATCCCCTAGCACGCACAAGCACACACACACACATACACAGAGAGAGAGAGAGAGAGAGAGCGCCCTTGGTGAGTACACAGAGGACACATGGACAAATGCTCCTGTCCTGGTTGCCCTCTGAAGCTAAATCCAGGTAAGATATTTGAATGTGAACAGACCATAGAATCCTCAACTATCTCTAAATGAGGAGATCAAGCCCAGAGTCTGCCAGCAACAGGTTCTGTGGCCTTGCTGGCAGACTATGGTCTGGAATTCAGGTCTCCTGATCTTCAGTTCACATTGAGCCATCCACATTCTCTGCACCCTACAAGGGCAAGGTGAGGAGAGTCAAAAGCAAGCCAGGCCCTGACTGCCATGGTTGGAAGATTTGTAGGGGGAGAGGCCTCTTAAAAACCCAAGAGATGAAACTTATAACCTTTCTCAGGCCAGAGAAAGCCTTTGCCTGGCAGTAAGGCTATCAGACTTACAAATTAAAATGGCTGCGCACGGTGGTTCACGCCTGTAATCCCAGCACTTTGGGAGGCCAAAGCAGGCGGATCATGAGGTCAGGAGATTGAGACCATCCTGGCTAACACAGTGAAACCCTGTCTCTACTAAAAATACAAAAAATTAGCCGGGCATGGTGGCATGCGCCTGTAGTCCCAGCTACTAAGAAGGCTGAGACAGGAGAATCCCTGGAGGGGATTCTCTGAGAACCCAGGGGATTCTCAGAGAATCCCTGAGAACCCAGGAGGCGGAGGTTGCAGTGAGCCAAGATCACACCACTGCACTCCAGCCTGGGCAAGAGTGAGATTCTGTCTCAAAAAAAAAATTAAAATACAGGTTATTCAACTAAATTTGAATTTCAGATAAAAATGAGTAATGTTTTGGAACAAGTATGTATGTCCAAATATTGCCTCTGTCTGGCAATTCTATTCCCAAAGCACAGATTTTTGAGAAGTAGGGGGAGCAACCATAGCTGCTACAGACCCTTTTTTTATTTCCCTAAGGGTATTCAGAGAATACCAGCAGAATGAGACCCTCCCCTGATTTCCAGTTCAGAGGTTCAGTCTGAAGTCAACAGAGCACTAGGGAGCAACTGGGGAAGTCAGAGATGTAAATTGTTTGAAAACAGAAATTTCAAAACTTCTAACCCATACCACCTCTTTGCCATATGAATTTCTAGGAAAGTGAGAAATAGACTTGCCATGCTGGACAATCTGCCCCTTGGGAATGCCACTCTACGAAAGATGCCAAGCAGATTATCCTGAAAGTAGGTAGGTGCTCAAAACTTTTTCTTAAATGAATTAATTGATGCATGAATGAATGGATGGATGGATGAGCAAGCCAGGGCTGGAGCAGGGTGTCAGGATGCCCAACCTCCAAGAGACAGCACTCGCATCCTAAATGGACATCTCCTCTTCTTTCCCAGCCCAGGCCTTAACCATCCTTCAGAGCTCAGTAGAATCCTCTCCTCCTCCAAAAGCCAGGCAAGCTCCTGGTTTTCACCCTCAACACAGGATATTTTTCATCACCTGATGGAAACTGTGGGCCTCACAGTTTACAGAGGGGTGAAACGAGAGCAGGAGTCAGGGCACAGTGAAGTGCACTGTAGTGTGGGAAGCATGAGAGGCTGCGGGACACAGACAGTGTAGCTCTGGGGACCCCATGTGACTCCAGCCACATCTCAGTCTCTCCACGCTGCCCTGTGGTGCTCTGGGGTCTTGTGTCAACTGCTTTATTTCTCCATCAAAGGATTATCCTGCTGTCTCCCATGCACAGATAAACAATCTTCACCATAAAGCTAATGACACACATTTTCTTCTCCATGACTTCCCAGAAATTCCCTCTTATTTCCCTGGCCACTCATCCTTAAGAATTAACTTCCAGGAAGTTCTTGCTAACTTCCATGCTATACCCAGGCTGGACAAGATGAACCTCTTCCAGCAGCAATGCATATAGATCTGCCTTTTTAATTTAATGCTACATAATATTCTGTTGTATGGATCAACCACGATTTATTTGATTGATCGCTTATTAACTCAAATGCCTTGTTAAATTCCTACCAAGAATGGAATGCTAGGGTTACAAAATTTAATGAGACACAGTATCTATAAACAATGAATTCAGCGTGATGGGTAAGCTGACATTTAACAACTTGATATAGTTTGAATATTTGTGCCCTCCAGACCTCATGTTGAAATTTGATTCCCAATGTTGAAGGTGAGACCTAATGGAAGGTGTTTGGGTCAGGAGGGCAGATCCCACGTGCCCTGGGGGCAAGTGTGGGTGTGTTCTCCTTCTGTGAGTTCCTGAGGAACTTGTTAAAAAGAGCCTGGCCACCAGGCACGGTGGCTTACATCTGTAATCCCAGCACTTTGGGAGGCCGAGGAGGGCGGATCAAGAGGTCAACAGATCAAGACCAGCCTGGCTAATATGGTGAAACCCCATCTCTACTAAAAATACAAAAGTTAGCTGAGCATGTTGGCATGCACCTATAGTCCCAGCTACTTGAGAGGCTGAGGCAGGAGAATCGCTTGAACCTGGAAGGTGGATGTTGCAGTGAGCCGAGATCGCGCCATTGAGCTCCAGCCTGGATGACAGGGCAAGACTCCCTCTCAAAAAAAAAAAAAAACAGCCTGGCATCCCCCCTACTCTCTCTTGCTTCCTCTCTCACCATGAGATCTCTGCATATACCCAGCTCCCTTTCACCTTCCATCAGGAGGGGAAGCAGCCTTGGCTTTCATCAGATGCCCAAAATTCCAGCCAGTAGAATCATGAGCCAAATACACCTTTCTCAGCATTACTTACCCAGCCTCAGGTATTCCTTTAAAGCAATACAAACTAAAACAACTAACCATGATTAAACATAATCAGAGCTATGAGGGCATTATTAGCCAAATGTAACCAAAAAAAAAAAAAAAAAAGCAAAAGCAAATAAAAATGGATCTGAGAAGGTCCTTAGTCAGCTCTTTCTTAAGAAAAACATTTTAAATGCCATATATAAATGATTTCGACTGTAAAATTTTAGACTCTTGCTGCTTAAAGTATATTCTGCAGACCAGCAGCATCAGCATCACCTGGGAGCTTGTTAGAGATGCAGATTCTCCCTCGAGACTGCAGAATCAGGATCTTCATTTTAACGAGATCCCCAGGTGATTCGTGTGCACATTACAATATGAGATGTACTAAGGTAAAAGATTTGTTGGTTTTTCCTATCTTGACCTCTTTCCCATTCCTTTATGAACACTAATTAAGCTAACTAATTTGATGGCAAATCTTATGAGGAATAATCTTTTGAAAATTGTCCAAGTGCTGTACATAAAATTAAAAAACTGTGAGTACAATACTGGATCTCACAGATAGCTCGTGGGATCCTTTGTATGTCCAAGCCTTTATCCACAGATGTATTATTCCAGCTCTTCAAGTTTCTAAGACCTTGTTCTATAAATTCCCAACTTTCCTCCTAATGATTCCTTGCTCATTTTAATTCATCATTCACATCCCTGATGTTGGGAACTGTGGAGGGTGGAAGATACCTTATCAGGAGTGCCAGCTTAGCTTATAGGTCTTCCTTAATTCTGAATTGTAAGTAGTACAATTCTGGAGGCTAGCTCAAAAAGATACTCTAAAACAAATTATCTGGACAAAAAAAAGAGACAAGAAAATGTAGATGTCTGGTCATTCAAAGACATTCTACATTAGGATGCTTCCTAAAGTGCTCAACATCACTACTTATCAGGGGACAGTAAATTAAAACTACAGTGAAATACGTCTGCACACCCTCCAGAATGGCTAAAATAAAAGACTGATGAGATCAAGTACTGTAGAGGCTGGAGAGTAACGAGAACTCTCATACATGGAAGCATGAAGTGGTACAACCTCTTTGGAAGACTGGCAAACTCTGCTAAAATTAAACATGAATCAGCCAGGCATGGTGGTTTACACCTGTAATCCCAGCACTTTGGAAGGCTGAGGAGGACAGATCACGAGGTCAGGAGTTCAAGACCAGCCTGGCCAACATAGTGAAACCCTGTGTCTACTAAAAAATACAAAAAAATTAGCCAGGCATGGTGGCGCGTGCCTGTAGTCCCAGCTACTCAAGCGGCTGAGGCAGGAGAATTGCTTGAACCCAGGAGGTGGAGGTTGTAGTGAGCCAAGATCACGCCACTGTACTCCAGCCTGGGCAACAGAGTGAGACTTCGTCTCAAAAAAAAAAAAAAAATTAAACATGAATCTACCCTGTGATTTTTTTCAGAATGTCATATAATTGGTATCAGCCTTTTCAAATTGGCTTCTAATAATATTCATTTAAATTTCCTCCATGTCTTTTCATTAATTTATAGTTCCTTTTTTTTAACCAATGAATAATATTTAATTGTCTGGATGTATCACAGTTTATCTATTAACATACTGAAGGACATCTTGGTTGCTTCCAAGTTTGGGCAATTATGCATAAAGCTGCTATAATCAACCACAGGCATGATTAAGCATGGACATAAGTTTTTACCTTCTTTGGGTAGATAACAAGGAGTGTGATTGCTGGATCCTATGGTAAGAGTATGTTTCATTTTGTAATAAGCTCCCAAACTGTCATCCAAAGTGACTGTGCCATTTTGCATTCCCACTAGCAATGAACGAGAGTTCCTGTTGCCCCACAACCTCGCCCCCATTAGATGTCAGTGTTCTGGATTTTGGGCATTCTTATAGGTGTGCAGTAGTACTTTCATTAATTTTATAATAATTTTAAATTATTTTTAATGTAAATAATCCTTTTATTTTCCTGATATTAAATGTGTTCTCCCTAAGGGGAAGAGAAAGTTGGCCTCTGTTCCCAGGCCTCCCCATAAGAATAAAACATAAGGAAGAGCACCATCAGCCTGAGAAGACTATGGGAAAGGGATAGGGAGCATCTCCTCCTTCCACAACAGGTGGTTCCACCTTTTGGCCTCTTTCCCCTTCTTCCTCTCCCCTGTGAACCCCCTCTTTAACTGCCTCTCGGAGGCGGTTATAGTGTATAACACTGTGTATAACAGTAAGTATGCGCCAGACTCAACAGACCTTGCATGTACTTATTATATTATTTCCCCAGAACATTCAAAACATTTGAAAACAACTTTAAATACAGAATATATTTTAAGTGAGGTTGAGAAAGGGGGTGGCTACATAAAGAAACAGTGAAAACAGCTACCAGGGGGAGAGAGTGGTGGGTGGACAATTTAGCAACATGATTCCATTTCAGAGTTCTCTGCTGTTTGTGGGTGATACTATGTCACTGAAACTGTCATAGTTAATCCACAAGGAAGTGGGTGGTGTTAACACGGCCTTTAATGTGCTGCCAAGGATGTTTCACTAACTTGTGAATCCTGCAAGCGTAGAGAGTATACTGGTGGGCCAGTGGGGCTACTTCTCCAGGTCCCCGAAAGCAGTTGGAGATATATACACTCCATATAACGAGGGGGTGAGGACGGAAGGAATGTGAGTGGGCCTATAAAACGGCAGCATGAGGGAATCTTGTGGTACTGAAATGTTCTGTATCTTGACTGTATCGGTGTCAATATCCTGATTGTGATATTGTACTACAATTTTTCAAAATGTTACTATAGGGAGAAGCCAGCTAAAGGATATATTGAATCTATCATTTCTTACAAATTCATGTGAATCTACAATTATTTCAATATAAATGCATATATATGGAGTAGATATATATATATATATTCCTATACTGTGCATATATACATTTAGAACCACATCAGATAGTGTTACAATTTTTGATTCAAATGTAAAATATAATTTTTAAAGCTCAGGCAGAGAATGAAAGTCTATTGTAACCATCTACATTTTTGCTTACCTTGTTCTTTTCCTCCCCCGATAGTCCGTGATTTCTTCTTTTATCGTTTTGTTTCTGTTTAGATAACTGATTTAGCATTCTTTTAGGGTAGGCCTGGCCAATTGATTGTCTTTTTAAATTCAGCTTCAGGTCGTCCTTGGTTTTGGCATGATGAGTGATTTTTCTATTAAAATCTGAGCGTTTTGGAATTCTGGGTCTTATTTAAAACTCCTGTTTTAGTTGACGACTTCTGACACTGCTCCAGCAGGGAAGGGGAGAAGAGCACCATCTCATTACTTTCACCTGTGGGTAGAAGTCCAGATTCCCCACTTGATCTCCACTGACACCTGATAAGGGGAGGATGGCCTTATTACTGCCAGGTGGAGGAGATACCCAGGCTTTCTAAGTGGTTTCCATTGACACTGTGGTGTGAAGAGATCACCTCAT